ATTTATACTTTATATCTTTATAAAAATTTATTATATTTATTTACTTCTTTATTGTTCATAATGTAACATGTTACTTGATGTATATGAGATAAAATTTAACGTGACATGTTAAAACGTATTTTAGTTAATATAAAATTATGTATTTTAATGTGATAATGATGTAAAACAAAAATTGAAAAAACAAATGACATGTCATAAATTAAATAAATAACTATAAATGTAAATATTAAAAATATTTTTTCATAGTATATAATATATAATATATAATTAAATCAAAAAATATTCAATATTGGGCTTATTTCGAAGGTATTGACGAGACGATTATAATGGTGTAACTTGATAAATTAAAACATATTTTTTAAACATATTTTAATTGATATACGATTATGTATGTTAATTTGATCAGGGTATAAAATGAAAAATTTAAAAGGAAAGAACGTAAAGTAAATTAATTAACTAATTATAGGGTATAAAATGAAAAACTTAACCGAACAAACGAACGAACACAAACAATAAACGAACGAAAATCTTTGTGTTCGTATTCGTGTTCGTTCGTTTAGAAATCAGGTGTGTTCGTGTTCGTTTATGTTCGTTTGTTAACTAGATAATATGAAATATAATTTAAAAATTAACAAGTATATTAAAAAATGAGTATGTAAGATGAACAAGATCAATAAAGGGTATGAAAATGTTTCCTGCAAGGTTAATTTAGTTGTTAGATCTAATTTTAGTTAATATAAAATTATGTATTTTAATGTGATAATGGTGTAAAAATAATAGATGTATCATAAATTAAATAAAGAACTATAAAAGTATAAATCATAAATATTAAAAGTATTTTTTTCACAGTATATACAATATATAATAATATAATTAAGTCAAAAACTATTTAATATTGGACTCATTTCGAATGTATTAACGAGACGATTATAATGGTGTAACTTGTTAAAATAAAAATGTATTTTTTAAACATGTTTTAATTAATATACGATTATGTATGTTAATTTAATAAAGGTGTAAAATGAAAAATTTAAAAGTAAAGGATGTAAAGTAAATTAATTAACTAATTATAAGGGTATAAAGTGTAAATTTAGAATTATTATTTTAAAAAAAATTCGTTGAATGTGAGAGATGATGGGTATGTGAGGGAGTGAGTTTGTGAGAGAAAGGGGGGGGGGGGGGGGGGGTGAGAAAGTGACGTTCAGGGGTATGAATATCAACCCTATATATATATATATATATGGTGAAGATAAAATGTTAACCAACAACTTTGTGTTAACTTTAAAAACCATAACAATCAATTAAATTCCATTTTTCTTGTAGGTTTATGTCATGTTCACATTTTAATTACAAAGGTATTTCAGTAAATTTATTTGATATGTAACTCCCAAACAATTAATAGGGAGTTACAAATCATCAAATCCCAAAAGGGTATATAATAAGTTTTATAGTACGTTTCGGATCTCGATCTTGAAATATTAGGTGGATAAATATTTTGTCATTGAAAAAAATTCGTACTTTGAAAGTTGATAAATCCTTAGAGAGAAAATATCCATACTCCATATATTGTGAAACTATTTTTTTCATATGCTATGTATATTAATATCTTTTACGTCTTATTTTATGCTCGACTTTATGTAATTTCAATGATTTTATATAAGTTCAATTTTCCAAATGTACAAAAATAAGTAGGGGTGAGCATAGGCGGGTACCCGCCCTTTTTGACAGGAACCGGAACCGGAACCGGAACCGGCGGTTCTTGAGATATTGGAACCGGAACCGGAACCGGTTAGAGCGGTTCTTAAATTTTTGGAACCGGAACCGGAACCGGAACCGCCGGGAACCGGTTCCGGTTCCGGGTACCCGCTTCCTAAAATATTAAAATTGTATTATTTAGAAATAAAAAATAAAACATTGCCAAAACACTAAATAAATAAGCAAGAATACAAATTATACAGAATAATTGTTACAAATATTGTTTAAAGATTACAAACTATAATAGATTAATAGAAAATATTCAAAGTTTAACGATTACATACTATAATGGTAAATGTTCAAAGTTTAACAATTACATACTGGTAAATGTTCAAAGTTTAACGATTACATACTATAATGGTAAATGTTCAAAGTTTAACGATTACATACTATGAATCCAAGTGAATACATAATTTGAAAAAATTCGAATCATTTTATATGGAGAATTTAGATAAATAATGAAGATGACGACGTGCTTTCAGGATGTAAACCTAATATAAATTTGGTATTAAAAAATAATAATTATTTTTTTACTTGAAAAATACCGGGTACCCGGCGGGTAACGGTTCCGAAAAATTGAGAACCGGAACCGGAACCATTCTCAATCGGTTCCGTATTTTAGGAACCRGAACCGGAACCACTCATATCGGTTCCGATTCCGGAACCGGCAGTTCCAAGGCGGTTCCGGTTCCATAGTCGGGTATCCGGTTCCACTGCTCACCCCTAAAAATAAGTCCATAAACGGCTTGAGATTGCTATATTAGGTCCGTTGGACAAAAAAATCATGTTAGGCCCGGCTGAAGACTGTAAAATCCTCAATATTAAGTTTTAGAGAATTCGTTAACTTGGAGTTCTTCTTTATTTTATAGAAAAACACTGAGATTTTGTTAGCTAAAACAAAAAACAAAATCTTTATTTTCTTTGTTTTATAAAATTTGTTGGAGATTCTCTTAGTTTCTATCTATAGATTGAATTTATCTATAAACAACCCCTAAGACTTGACCTATAGCAATCTGTTAAGACGGGCCAGCGGACATGACGCCTAGCCCACAATCGGTTATGGAAAAAACGAGTTATAAGAGTCTAGGACAGTTGCCGGTTACCGAGGCTCGATTCTAGTGGTGTAAAAAATCCGACCAAACCACTAACCTAAAAAACAGACCAACTAACTAAATTGTATCTAATCCGATGTTTAATTGGTTCATAAGATATACAAATCGACTACCTTTTTTATCTTTTTCATCAAACAATCATACGAACGTTTTTTAGATAATTTGTACAAATCAAAACACATTAGGGCATACAATTTTTCTTATTAACTTGAATATGTAACTCGTCATGTGAGCCGACTAATCTCAGGACGACCACCTGCTTTGCGGGTAGCCYGAAGTCACCGCATTTGAACCTCCGTAGCCATAAAGTGATTTTTTTCTCCTTGGATTTAAATTTGGGACCTTCAGGCACTTTAATAGTCACCACCACCTATCACCACCACCACCGCTAGCAGCTACAACCACTGGCAACCTCCAATTACCTCCATAATCACCATCTCAGTTTCATCCATAACTACCACCTCCATATCCACCATGCCCTCCACAACCACCATTGACGTCTACCTCCACATCTAACTCCATATCCACCACGACCATCGTCTCACCTCCACCATAATCATCACCTCCCATTCCACCACCACCCGCAATCACCATATAAAATCATTAAACATTTAAGGGCAATTTGTCAAATCCTACCCCATCGTAGTCATGCCAAACGCTAGACAACTCTATGTCATGTCCTTACCAATCATGTTCTCTTGTCCTTTCCGGCCTTTACCAATTAAGGGGTAGTTTACCTAAATGCTTACCCGGTAAGCGCTTACCATTAGGAGTCAACACTGTAATTTATTTTCTAGGTAAGATTGCAGTATATCAAAATGATATCGTGTGCAACAATATATATGGTAAGCACTTGTCCAGGTAAGAGTCGTCACCCTCACTTATCGGGTAAGACTCTCTATCCTTATTATCGCTCTTACCAGGTAAGATTCTTGGGTTTTACCATGTTCATCCAATGAGGAAAATTGCCCAGTAAGCATCCACTGAGTAAGCATTTAGCAAGCGGCCCCTAGTCATATCTAGTGTCGTTCGATCTACGTAACAAACGTTGCCGACTGTATAAAGAACGACTAAAAGCAAACCCAGTTTTTGCCCACCTTAATTGGTTGAAAATTATGACCCATGAAACATCAAATCTAGGATTCAAATCAAATCCATCCCTCTCTTTAAACTTGAAAAAAGTGAGTTTTTACAAAACCATTCAAATGTGGTTTCAGATTTGACAAAGTTGGGTGAGAATCAAAAGTCAACATTTATTCAACTACTCTTGATTCATATCATCATCATCTTCTTCTTCTTCAAACGTTACAAGAATTAAATAAAGCCAAAAGCCTCAAAATGAGCACAGAATTATTGAACCAAACTCCGGTGCGCTTCAGAGCATGTTTCGAATATCCAACGACTTCACTTCCGGCATTTCCTCATCATTGAACTCCTCCCTGCAAATATTTTTGTTCATAATCAACAAGCACACACCGAAATATGTGCAGAATAACTTTTTAAGAGATTTTCTGACAAATTTAAGAACGTTTCTTATCGCTTAAAATTTGCACCTTGATCAGCTTAAATGAGCTGAACCAACCTAGCCTATACAAGATCCTTATTCAATCAAGTGCAACATTTCTAGAGCTGATTGGATTTGATCTTATTTGAACGGTGTGATTTTAAGTTTATATACAAAACCCACCAAGACTTCAAGCCTATAAATATCAAATATAAGATGCTATGCACCAAGCTAAGGTTCGACTCAATGAGGATATAGCGTTCATTGCTTATGTGTCTATTGTCATTATTCCAAATATTTGATAATGATAATTTGGGTCTATATTAGATGGTACTTTAGAAATTTGGCAAATAATCGTAGAATTTAAATGGGAGGAAGTAGAAGACATGCCTTTTCTTTTGTGTTTCCATTGCTTCAAGAGCATCCTTTTTCAGCTCTTCCAATTGTGCCTTCGCAATCTTTTTCTCCAACTGTTCTTCGTATTTAGGCAAGTCTTCCTTGCGTATGCCGAGCCTAGAAAAAAGAAGCACCACAGATTGAGCTATTTTCTGATTGAATGATATGCTGGTTTAACAAATACAGTTCAATGATTAAAACAGGATAACAAACATTACCGACAATATGGGCTCAAACCAATTTGGATCGAATCAGATCCAGCCAGATTTAGATCCTCTATTTTTGAAATTTTTGCTAAAGCCCAGTCCACAACTGGTTATAATTCATTATACCAGAACCGGGGTGATGTTATTTTTCTTGCTCTTTTACAAGTCTAAGCATTTGAAAAGTGTGTTTGTATGATTCTACCAGAATGCACATACATTTATGAGCTTTACTCATATTACAAAAGAAAAACCAAAAACCCTGATCCACTGTTTGTCATGGGCAGAAGCATCGAGAAACTGTAATCGAACCAAAACAAGAAATTTCAGTCTGGTACCAAAGAGACATTGTCCCAACGGTGCACAGGTTACCGATAGAGCCCAGCCTCCATGGAGGTCAAGGGTTAAAACCTCACCAAAGGTAATAAATGTGCGAGTATTTGCCATGTACATTATCTACTTCAAAAAGAAGTTTCAGAATGCTTCTTGGTACTAATTAGACATGAGGGTCAACATGAAATTCTTCCGGAGAAAATTCTTACTTCTCTCTATAATAGAGCTTACTTTTGGTTTATCTTGTTAATTCTTGCTCTCTCTGTCCCAAAATAAATGTCTACAAAGAAAAAGGCACAGTTTTGGAGAAGTGTAATTGTTAAACTTTTTAATTAACTAATTTACGATTTTACCCTTAATAATAGATGGACTAAAGAACTTCTCTCATAATCAAGGGTAGAATTGGAAAATAGACACTTTAGAAATGTGGAAACTTATTTTGGAAAAAAACTAAAATAGAAGTGTGGACACTTATTTCAGGAAAAACTAAAATAGAAATGTGGACACTTATTTTCAGACGGAGGGAATACGGTTCTTTTAATAAAGCTTACTTTTGGTTTATCTTGTTAAATTCTTCGTTCAAGAGAGCCATCCCTTTCTTGTCATTCCTCATAAGTGGCTTCTTAATTTCCTTCTCAACTTTATCAAGTGCATTCATCATCATAGTTTCAGCACCGAGTTCATCAGTAAGGCCTCTCCTGCAAATAAAAATTAGATTTCATCAATTAACAAATACATGACACTCACAAATCAAAGTGCTTTCAAGAATTACAACAATCAAAACTCTTAAGAATAATAACCTCCAGAAAAAAAAAACAAATATACTTTAGATTGAAACTTGAGAAATTTAAGTAGCATAAAGGGTGATTATTAAAAAGGCATAAAGGTCGTACTTGATACGAATATCCTTCAAGACCAACAAATAAGACCGAGCATCCTGAATTCCATCAGTTCGTGACTTAATGGTGAACTGAATCCTCTCAGACTCTGAGTACAGACCGGCCCTGTAGGCATGGAAGACAAATTTGAAAAATAAGGTTAATGGCAAAACGCAATAATCAACAGTATCTTAAATATTCACCAATGGCATATGAATGAAAAGAAAATGCATCCAATGAGAATGACATGTTGCCAAAATAATGTAAAAAAAGACATCAACATTCTACCAAAGTACTCAACCATCTATTGCAAATATAAGGATCCAATGCAAGAAAATATATGCTACTCCCTCAGTTCCCAAAGGACTCCACACTACCATTGTTTCTCCAAAAAGGAGCATCTCATTAAGTGTGAGCCATCAATATCATGGTTCTAAAATCCCTGGTTAGGTTGGCCAGCCACTTAGGTGTTAGGGGTCCCTATATTTAAGTTGATAACTGCATTCTGTCTTAAGTCAAGATGTGCATAGAATCTGGTTTATTCCTTTGTAAGGTCAACCCTTATCTCATTGATCTCCCTTCGGTCATAGAGGATCTCCAACAGTTTCTTCATAATTTCTCCAAAATGGAGAAGCAAAAGTCAATTCTTGGAAAAATAAGTTACATTCAACTCCAACAATTTCTCCATTTTAGCAATTCCAACATTGATTTATATTATTAAAATATTCAATAGTATACAGAAGTCTTCTCTCTTCCTCCATTTAATTATTTTGGAAAGTTGAGGAGTTATTTCTTGGAATAATAAAAAAGTCATCCTCTCTGTTCCTCCATTTAATGTTGGCAGGTTATCCAAATTTGTAGAATTGTTCACTCTCTCTCTTACTTCTCCATTTTGGAGAAGGTTTTGGGCTCTTGGAGCAAAAAAGAGGCACAAGAACAAAATCTCATTTTTCTCCATTTTGGAGAAGCCAGGAGATGCTTTTATGTATCATCCCAAAGCTTCAATTGTTTGGTGCTGCTTAGTTGACCCGCCTAGGCATCAAGAGCCCCATGGCAGCTTCAACTAAAATTTATTCGATATGAGTTTCAAAAAGTTACATGGGGGTTAATCAGTTTGAGTTTGTAAATCAACTTTTCTCAACTTCGAGGTAGTGTTCCAAACCCTTTCAGGGTAATTGTATCAATAGAAAAATGAAATTGGTCATCAACAAAAGTAATTACTCATATAATATCAAAAGTTTGATACACTATATACACACACACACACACATATATATATATATATATAAATGAACTAGCTATGCTCCTTAATCTCTCTATTATTAAGAAATAGAAGGTAACTCGACTACCTAGCTTCAGTTGGCGCCTTTTAAAAGAATTGTAAATTTAGGCCAGTTTAGCACCCACAATATATTGTTGCAGTTGAGCATGTTTTTTTTTATTTTCAGACATTGAACGAATAGATAATATAAAAGCCCAAACATCATAATTCTAAATAACTTACTTTTCCCTGACAGTCTTCATGACTTTGGCATACTGATCAACTGCTGCAGGATCTTCAGGAGCAAGAGTAATTTTCTCTTTCCTGAGAACTCCAACAGCTGTCTCAAATTTCTTCTTCACGTCAAGAAATATATTCTTCAACATTTCTGCAGATGCATGACAAGTATCACCATTAGAATTCGCATAAAAGCATAAGTTACAATTTTCAAGAAACATGAATTACTTTATTATTTGGCATAGCATCTCAAGGCGAGATGGAATTTGTGAACATAAACCATTGTTTGATATATCATTCACAAAATGCAAGTAAAAGTCCAGGTTTTAGCATTCACAAAATGCAAGTAAAAGTCCAGGTTTTAGCATTCAAAAATGGAGATTAACAAGGTCTAATTAGAGGTGCTAATATTTTGAGCTTCTAACAAACCACTTGAGCTCGAACTTGTTTATCTCGAGCTCGAGCTTAATAACTCTCAGGCTTGAGTCGATCTCGAAAGCAAAATGAATCGAGCTCCATAACACCAATGTTCGACTCGACCCATTTGAAAGATCGATTACATTTTTCAAGTCGAGTTGAGACAAGCCGAGCCATTTCAACCCAAACATGTCCACATGTTCATAAATCGTAAAATCAGAATATAAAACTTTCAAGCTTAAAAGCCAATAAACAAATTAATCGATCTCGAGTTCGAGCCCATAGATGAGCTTATAAAACTTGAAATTTTAGGCATAATGTATAACTCAATTTGGTTAAACAAGCATTGAGCTCGAGCTCGATCTCGAACACTACTTTGAAAAAGTTATTCGAGCTCGAGCCTCATTGTTTTTTGAGCCGAGCTCAAACAACCTAATACTCGACTTGACTAGGCTCTTTAACACCTCTAGGTATAATAGCACAAAAATGTTGCTCAAGAGTTGTCAATACGAATGGCTCAAGACTAGAGAATGATGCCCTTGTAAACATGGAAAATAATTTATATGCATAGCCCAGTGCATGATTGCTCCACCACAGCATAGTTCAAAAGTATCTAAAATGTTATGTGAAAGAAAAAAATATTAGCAAACCTAAAAAGAGAAATATTAGATGAAAACACGCATTGTATCACTAAAGTAGTCATAACAATAACTAACGACCTCCACTCATCTACAAATATATTATGTTAGCACTCTGCTCAAGCACATCAAATATGTTTTCGTTCAAAGTAAACATCGCCACACATTAGCATAAGCTCAGGCACAAAGATATGATGTTACTGAAAAAAATACAACGAAAAATGCTACTAGAAGCAACTTAAATAGTATGTTAGTGAATTTGACCAATTATCTTTCTCATTTTTCATAACAGAACAATTCAGGAGTAGCCAAAGAGCTTACAATAACTGATAAGGTGTAAATAGAAGCCCTTCAAAATCAGAAAAAAAAAACTAACAAATATATTCATGGGCTAACAAAACTAGATTTTGATATATGAAAGCTCATCAATACAAAAAATCCATATTGATTTTGAAGATTCTGAACTAGCACATGTATATATTTCTATAGAATGTACAGTTTCAAGTCAACTCACCATCGCCCTTGAGAGCTTTAGGTGCAGCTTCTTTGGCATAGAAGCGAGCTGGAACCGCATGTTGCTGCGGTTGCAGAATGCATTGACTGCTATATAACTGCATAACAACAAAAATCCATATGTTAAACACAAAATCTACCAATAAACATTATTGATAATGCAACAAAGCCATCCTTTAGAAGCAAAATGCAGAATGAGGGGTCTAGAGGAAAAAGAAACGATTATCAAATTTATCTGCTATCCACCATATGATTCAAACATTCAACACTTCACCCACCACTACTTAATTAGAACTTGGTGGTGCCATAGTGATATTTGATAGGTTGTGGACCACACAACCAACTTTCAGAGTTACATACTGTGGACAATGCCTTAGTGATTACATAGCGAATCATGAACCACGTGAATATATACATTATACATATTTCAATTCCTCATATAGTTTCTCGCTAAATTAACCAAGCCACCCTGACTTTATCTGTTTCACACTTTTTTCATGAGAGGATTTGGAGATGGGAGGGATTTCATATTCCTTCATTTCTGAGCTATAAGAGTATTTTGGCATATTTTTAGGTTGCGTTTGTGTTTGTCTAGTTACTCTCATTATGGTGTTTTGTGCATTATTCTAAATCCATGCACTTAGAAAATAAGTATATATATATATATATATATATATATCCTAGTAATCACTCCAAAGCTATTTAATCTCTCCCTCCTTCCATCAGACACACAAACACGAAAGTAGAAAAGATCTTTATAAATTCCCTCTAAGCTAAAATTTGCAACAAGGTGTAAAGCATGACGATGCACAACCGAATTTAGTAGGATTGTTAAACCAATATACCTTATGACTATACTTTCAATTGCATGTTAAACCAGTACGTCAAAGGTATGTTCATCAATGACCAACAGGACTAGTGATAAAAGATGGGTCAGGTACTTTAATTGCTATGTTGCATGTGAGCAGGTTTAATTGGTTCATTGTTTGGCAGGATGAGTACACATCAAATCTTTAAATAAGTGGGCGCTAGAAGGGCGTAGAAACTATATTGTTATATACACATACACTGATAGTCTGATACACACATATACATGAATATATAGGGAGCAAAAGTCTCATATATAACAACATATCTAGAAAAACTCATGTATATGTATATGCAGGTATGCTTTGTTACTAGACATTGTTGACAACATATATCCAAATTTTAGATGTTTGTTCGTGATTTAGTTTCATATAACTTGAAAGGTTTATGTGTTATCCCTTAATAGTGCAAGTGAATCATCATAACCAAAAAAAAACAAAGAAGACGTCTAATAGAAATTTAAATAGAATGCGCACTATTGGTTTAGTATCACATGTGATAGACTACGGTATCACATGCGATATGGGTGTTCTCGCATTTATGTAAAATAGTGGTGTTCTAGTTTGAACTCACCCCTATATATATATATATATATAGGGAATTCACACATGTTAGGTTCAATTTGATCCAACATATAAATCTTTTGCAGACATCAGAAAGGGGTTGATTCAGATAACTGAAAGCATGCATTGTAACGACAAATTGAATTTGCATGTACTCATTCGAATTCCACATCAGCAAGAATTTCTCTAAATATACATCAAGTTTGATCCTCAAATCAACGTCCAGATGCATGCTTCCAATCATTTGAAAATCACTCTTTTTGACTTCTACATCGACTACGAACAAACTTTAAATCCTAAAGTAGACCACAAACAGATCTTAGACACTTATAACTTATCATTTGCTCTGTATAAATCAATATCTCGTTGCATAAAGCAGTATATGAATTTGATGATCTTATTTCATATCAATTATTATTCAAAGCAAAAGTGTCATTGGAGTTGAGAAATGTCATTATGCTCAGGCTCTTGAAAAAAATTTGGGATATAGCATCGATATAATTGGACACCACCGCTTCTTCCACACCCTTCTATATGCTTCCATCCCATTATAAACACAAAACACTTCTTTACTGAGATATGTCAATTGACTCTAAAATATAATTTGCAATCATTTATACATTCAACGACTCTTTGTCCCAATTTCATGCTAATTTGCTCAAATCTACATCTAAATATACTAATCTATCAAGATAATGAAAACACCCAAAAAATACATCCAACACCAAAGCCTGAAATATCTTTAGGCATATAAATGGATCCATAATTCTAATAGTGAAAGAAACCCAGATGAATACTACTTGATGTGTGCACCTGTTTATAAGCAAGCAGCTAATTTATTTTATGAAATAAATTCAAAGTCTGATACCCAATACGAAGTCAAACAAAACTTTTATCGGTATAAATCAATCTAGAGCATAAGCAGTAAAAGCATATCGAAAAAGTCAGCTACATTTCCGACGGTTCATCGGAATCCTGACTACTAACGATAAGTTTAGAGAATCTTTCAAGTATAAAAAGCAAACGCCGATCAACGATATGCAAATCAAAATCTACAAGCAATTTAATAAAAATCAACAGGAATGAATACCTGGCGAGTGGATCTCGATAGAATTCGAGCCATGTGAACGATGAGCAACTGGTGGATTGGGACGATTTCAAGGATGTTAGGCTGCTTGTTCCTCTTAGGGCTCAGACGCGATCTAGCGCTTGTAGAAGAGAACTGTTAAAAAGGATTATGCGAAGTGTATCGACAGAAATGGCCCTGTTTCAAACCCAAAAAAAGGGCCCGACTCAGACCTAACAACCCAAAGCCCAGAAAATATGTATTATTTGGGTGTCCAGACCAGACATAATGATTATCATATAAGATGGCCAAAAACCGGTTTCGGGCCGGGCCGGGCCGGAACTTCTAATCGGTTAACATCTCTCATAACCGGTCATAATCGGTTCCGGCATAACCGGTTCCGGTCTCAGTCGAAAATGATAGGACCGGTCATGGTACTTCATAACCGGTTATGGGCCGCCGGTCCCGGTCCCAGTCCCAACCGGTCTTTGCATTAAAAAATAAGATTTTTTTTTTATTTTCTTAATGATATGTATTTTTAATACATTATAAAATTTACAATTTGGTCACTCAAATACACTTTAAAAATACGTTTTAATATAATTAAAATTACGTTTTCTTATAAGAATACATTATGAAATTATTTAAAAATACATCTATTTATAAAATTATTTAAATTTTCGGGCCGGGCCGTTCCATAGTCAGTCCCATAACCGATCCCGGTCCCACGAAACTACCAAAAACCTCAACCGGTCCCGGTTTTCAGTCTCATAACCGGTCCTTACCGGTCCCGGGCCGGTCCTTTGTCGGTCCCGGGTCCTCCGGCAGTCCCGGGCCAGGCCGGGCCGATTTGGCCATCTCTAATATCAATTGATGGCCAAAAACCGGTCCAGACCGGTCCCAATCAGGTCTTACCTTCTTCGTAACCGGCGGTAATCAGTTCCGGTCCCGGTAGAGAAAGTGTTGACCGATCAAGTCGACTCATAACCGGTTATGGGGCTACCGGTCCCGGTCCCATCCATAAAAAAAGTTATTTTAAAAAAAATAATGATATATATTTTTACTATGTTATTAAATTTACCGTACGGGTCACTCAAATACACTTTAAAAATACGTTTTATTATAATTAAAATTACATTGTTTTACAAAAATCTATTATAAAATTATTTAAAAATACATTTATTCATCAATCTTCATCGGTATCTCATGTCGGATTGATTTGAAGAGTTTCGGTCTCTTGAATTCTTCTAATAGCCTCTTGGTCATCAATGTCGAGTTCCTCATCATCGTCATATTGTGAGTAAGTGTTGTCGGTATCCATAGTTGGCGGCGTGCTTAGTCATATGGAGATTTCATTTCCTTCCATATTTTTTTTATTAACTGAATATCCAACCCGCTATGCGAGTCGACTAATCCCAGTGCGACCACATGTTTTGCAGATAGCCCGGAGTCACTCATTTGAACTTCCGTGGCTACAACGGAATTTTTATTCCTCCTTGGATTTTCCTTCCATATTTTCTTCCACCGCTTCAATCTCCATCTCTAACGATGTCGTGTGTTGAATCCTATCAACGCTATCCAAATAATCCTTGAAGCAGATGCAACACTCCACAGACTCTGGGCTTAGTCTTGTCTGACGTATGGAAATGATCTTGCCACTAAGAGAAAAAACAGACTCCGAAGTTACGGTACTAGTTTGGATTGTTAGTACATCACGTGCGATACACGCCAAAATCGGGAATTGAAGTTGTTTTTGTTTCCAAAAATATAATAAATCATTTTTTTCAAAATCTTCGACATCATTTGCGGGAATGCAGCCATAAAGTTAGTATTCACATACATATTTAGTTCACCTAAATCGTTATCATATCGACTTTTTTTCCTTGATTCATTTAAAACTTCGTTCATTAAATTAATCATCAACTCTTTACGACTTTGTTGATGACCACTAGAAGAAGAACTAGAATCCGCAAACCCACGACTTGAAGAGCCTTGTTGTTGGTTTCCTTCTCTGTAAAAATGTTTGTAATGATCAAATAAATCTTGAAAATTATGATTCAACAAACGTTTTTGTTCCATTGAAAAAGAATTATCCGTAGCGGTATCCAAACCAAAAATCACACATATTTGTGTAATTAAAACTTCAACACCGACAATATTTAAATACGGGTTTAACGCCGCAACACAAATAAAAGCAAATAAGATACTCACAAAATATTTTAACAATTTTTTTTCATTCAAGACATCAACCTTCCCCAATCGTGATGCTCTTCGTATTGGGCAATCTTACTTGCCAAAATATAGATTTGGTTTAAACTAAAGGGTTTGTTGGATAATAAATACCAAGTTGTAGTGATTCCAAATATCGGATTTTCGTCCGTGTTCGGTGAGAACTTGGGCAACTTGTTCGTTTGATGCATTGTGTTGTTCACTGGCCATTTTGTAAGACAAAGAGAGAAAGAAATGCGAATTGTGAGGTGGAAACAAGAAATTAATACGAGTCGAATTCACAAAATATAGAGAGAAACCGAGAATTGTGAACGTTTTTTGCGTTTTTGAAGAAGAGAGAAAGTTAGTATGTTAAACTCCCAAACTTGATACATATTTATAGTGTTTTGGGGTAAAAAAAATACAAAAAGAAACGGCTTCTAACGGTCACATAAGGGCTATAATTAAAAAAAACGGCTAGTTTTTCGAGCCGGGCCTTAACCGGTCCCAGTCGGTCCCGGTCCCTAGTAATGGCCAAATCGGACCGGCCCGGGGCCGTTATGGGACCGAAAACCGGAAACGGTTGGGGTTTTTGGTAGTTTCGTGGGACCGGGACCGGCTATGGGCTGGGCCGGCCCGAAAATTCAAATAATTTTATAAATAAATGTATTCTTAAATAATTTTATAATGTATTTTTATAAGACAATGTAATTTTAATTATATGAAAACACATTTTTAAAGTGTATTTAAGTGACTCAATTGTAAATTTTATAATGTATTAAAAATATATATCATTAAAAAATTTAAAAAAACTTATTTTTTTAATACCGGGACCGGTTGGGACTGGGACCGGGACCAACGGCCCATAACTGGTTATGAGGGACCTTGATCGGTCCTACCATTTTCGACCGGGACCGGTTATGGCCGGTTATGAGAAAGCTTAGGACCGACTGGAACCGTTTTTGGCCAACACTACCGGTCCCATAAATCGGAGAAAAGTACAATCGGTCGTAACCACCGGTCCCATAATAAAACATGATGAAGACCTTGAAATGTTTTGGTCTTTTTGACATAGGTATGGAATTGTATGATGAATCATTGGAACCAAAAAAATCGAGGGTTAGTTGGAAAGAAAATGTAGTAAAAACCTTATTGGAGTATTGTCTACAAGAGATGTCTATGAATGGAATCCAAGGTGGTAGCCTTAAGATGCACCCATAAAATAATACAGCGGAAACATTAAAAAACACTTACAACTTCATTGTCAATGAAAGACAAATAAAGAATCACTATGATTATTTGAAAGGAAAATACGTTGTATGGTCTAGACTAATGTCTATAACCCAACAAATAACACATTTAATCTATCTGAAGAGGAGTGGAAGGCAGAGGCAAAGGTTAATTTTTTTTTTTTTGTGATTTTCTAATTTAATTTCCTTATATTTTTCTTTTAGTTATATGCTTTTACTTTTTTTTTTATAAACGGTTGAGGAATATGCTGACAAGTTGAGGAATGCACCACTACATTATCCTAATTGTATTCAATTTTTTGATGGAGTGGCGGCCACGGGTATGAGGACTTGGGGACCTTGGTGTAATTCTCATAACCCTTCGCGTGTTACTGATGATTCTAACCCGCCTTTAGTTGTTGATGATCAAGGCTTGGATACCGCACAAACACCTCATATTTCAGATAAAGCACCTCCTAATTCAACTCAGGGACCACCTAATTCAACTCAAGGACCATCTAGCTCAACACAAGAATGTTCCTCTCATTCTCAAAGCAGAAAACGAAAAGTTGATCAATCATTGGTAAGGGAAGATGAGTTAGCTCATGTGGTGACACATGTGAAAACCATTTTTGACAAACCATCGGAGGACGGTGATATGGAGGCTTGCATGTCGAAATTAGAGAAACTTGGTTGGGAAGATAGCTCGTTGTATGATATCACACTTTTCCTTTTTAGCCAAAACATAGATTATATAAAAATTTGGCTACGTTTGAAGGATGAGAGGTGTGAGACATGGGTTAACTTTACGGTACACCAACTTAACTTAAAACAAGCAGGTGGGTCTTTAATATTGATATGGTATTTAGACCGACATTATATGGACGAATATGAAACTTCATCACTTTTTGATGTTTTGTATGAACGAGTATGAAACTTTATCACTTTTTGGTGTTCTGTATGGACAAATTTTTGGAACTTTAATATGTTCAGTTTGATATTACATCACTCTTTAGTGTTGATTGTTTAACTTGATGTTTTTGTTGTTCTAATTGTATGTTAAAGATCTATGTCATGTATGAAACATAATACGATGTTTTTTGTATTTCGTATTTGCAAGGTTATATGGATTGTAATCAATTAATAATGATTATGGTGATTGCATATTGGTATTTAACAAAAAGAGCTGAAGCAAGAATAGAAAGAAGAGAAAGAATAAGATATAACACTTCAAATTTGACCGGGCATGCGTATACACAAGAATTATTACGTGGGTCTAATAAACAATTTCATGAATTGATGCGTCTATCTCGTAATGCTTATATACTCTTGTTTATCCATTTTAAACAAAACAATTGATTGCAATCCAGTACTCGTATAAATGTTGAAAAGAAGATAACAATGTTTTTAACTACTATTGATCATAATGAACGTTTTATAATGGTTAAACGAAGATTTCAACATTCCACACGAACTATTCATATATGTTTTCATGAAGTGCTAAATGTGTAATGATGGAATTCGCAAGAGAAGTCGTAAAACAATGGAACTTTGAACATATCAGAAAGAGTCGGAAACCTCAAAGAAATATTTATGGTATGTTATTTGTTTTGATAAATTGTAAAACATGAGAAGTTCTTATAATATTGTTATATATAATTTATGGTTTTATTACGAGGGGTTATAGATGCACTAGATGGAACTTTGATACATGCAGCTATATACATAAATCAACAAGCAATATATAGAGGAAGTGGAAGAGGTGATTGCTTTCAAAATGTTTTGGCAATGTGTGGTCTTAATATTCACATATGTTTGGGCTGGATGTGAAGGCATTGTACATGATGCTAGAGTTTTGAGAGAAGTTACATTTGACCCAAATTCAAAATTTATGTTCCCTCCACCAAGTATGTTTCATCATTTTCCTAATAGTGAAATATTATTATTTTTCTGTATTCTTTTATTTATATTTGTAAATGTAGATAAATATTATCTCTCTTAGGCTACATACCCGATACTCGTGGATTTTTTACTCCGTAATGCAATACATGGTATTATTTAGCTGATTTTCGACACCGACGTGCGGTAACTAAAGAAGAAAATTTCAATCATATACATTCACAACTTAGAAACATTATTGAACGTTCATATGGCGTCTTAAAAGCAAAATTCCTAATTATGAAGAAAGCTTGTTATCCTTATCCAAAACAAATAGAGGTAGTAGCTATTTGTTTTGCAATCTATAATTTTATAAAAAAAAATGTAATATCCAAGATCAACTGTTTATGCAATATGGTGAGAACGTCATGTTCGTTGCAAAAGAGCAACATGGAAGAGACATTGAAGAAGTCGTTTAAATACAATGGGAGGGTTCTCAAGACAATGGATATATGGCTAATCTGCAGGATTAGATTGCGACTCAACTATTTTCAAATGCTTCAAATTAATTTTTACCGTCTAGGATGAAAAACAAACAATTTCCTTTTAGTACTAACATTTCATATTCCGTTTGTATTTAAGTATGAACGACTATTAATATATTTTGCTGTTTAATTTGAAGTATGAAAATTGTATTTTATTCTCTTATTTAACGGTTAATCATATGAAAAAAGAGTAAAATAGTATTATTTTTAATGGTAAGCATTTTGTTCTTTTCCCTTTCATTAAACTATTAATAACAAAAATAATTACATATTATTCAATATATAATTACAGATAGGGTTATAATAGTCATTTTATTGTTGGTAAACACTTACCAAAAACATTTGCTAAACACTCTTACCCAGGACAACAATTAGAGGCCGTTTACCAAACGTTTATCTGAGTAAGCGCTTACTAACTCACATTACCTTACCGGATAAATAACAATGATTAAAAATCTTACCTGATAAAAACGAGACTAGGAACAAGAGTCTTACTACATTAGTCAATGTAAGGCTTCATATACTGATTAGGGGAAAGGCCAAACACCTTATACCCTAACTTTTGGTATGGGAGAAGTTAGCTTTCAACTAAAAATCTCGGTAAGTGAGGACGACGACTCTTACCATGGTAAGCGCTTACCGGGTAAATTATTGCATACGATGTCGTTTTGATGAATTAAAATCTTACCCCATAAGTAAATGATAGTGTTAAATTTTACCGATAAGTGCTTACCGAGTAAATGTTTGGTAAACGGTCCCTTACTCGGATCAGCACTCTTATCCCGACAGCACTTACCGGATAAGAATTGGTGAACAACCCCTAATTGACTAGAAATATTTGAGATATAATTAGACCGGAACGAATCAAAACCTAAATAGAACCGGCCTCTTTCAGTCCAATCTGATCCAGACTAATTTATAGGGTCGAAAGGCAAGTACATTGACCCAAAAAATTGAGTCGAAACGATAACAAAGAACCCATTTAGCTAAAACAATAGTAATTTCCTTTTGAAAACGTTGGGTGTCTAGGCCAACGTGCGCACCTTGACTAATCCTATGAGACTCTTGAAGTTAAAAACCAGCAAATCTCTCCGGCCATGAGAGGACTTTAACTCATGATCTCCGAGAAACAAACACAAGATTTTACCAGTTGGGCGAAGCAACTTTGGGTGGAGTATGAGAGCTCTCCAACCCACAAATGAGAACAAGCAACATCGAGAGACAAAAAGGTCTAAAGCTACGACCGATTGTATTTAATCAAAGTTACAGGTTCTTCAGAGAATCGCCGGCTCCCTGGAAGAAACAATAAGAAAGCACGAAATCGGCTATAAAGATACCAACAAGTGAAAGGACCACAGCAGAAGTAGTCGACTCTCCAACACCTTTGGCACCTCCCAAAGTGGTGACCCCCCAAGCACAGCTCACAACCGATATGATCCCACCAAATACTTGAGACTTGATCATCGCACTAACTATATCCCATGATCTAAGCGCTCTCTGAGCCGAATCCAAGATAATGTTAATGCTAATCCCATAAACCCCATCGGCCAATAGAGCACTAGATGCCATCCCTACTGTGAAACAAATAAGGGTCAAGAACGGTAGAGCGACACAAGAAGCAATGACTCTTGGAGTTACCAAGTAGTCTACAGGGTCTGTACCCAAAACTCGCAAAGTGTCAATTTGCTCAGAAACTTGCATTGTCCCCAATTCTGCAGCAAATGCACTCCCAATACGCCCAGCGACAATGATTGAAGTGATCACAGGGCTTAACTCACGTGTGAATGCCAGGGCTAGTACACCGCCAACAGCCCTGTTTAGACCTAATCTTGTGAATTCCCTAACAAACTGAATGGTGAAAGCCATGCCCACGAAAGCTGAGGTTAACAAACAGACACCAACTGATTTTGGACCGACTCTTTCTAGCTGTTGGAGGGTGTTTCTCCAGTGGATTTTACCGTTAAGTATCCTCATTATCACCTGACCAGCCAAGATAAAAACCGATAACCCTCTCCATAGGTATCTAGGAGGAGACCATTTGCTGAAAAATGGCTCGAATTCTTGAAATGGTTTGTCGTTTGTGTCTGCAAGATCTTCAGAGACACAAACAGATGGCGAATGTCCATCATCAGGGATTGTGGAAACCCTGGTTTCATGGACTGGTAAGCTGTTAGGGTCTAGAAACAATCTGGTTTGGCCAAAAGATCCCAAATTGTGAACATTCTCAACTCCTTTAATCAGCTTAAGTCTCTGAGAAAACTGACTTTGATTTTTGTTTCTAATGTTCGTCCAAGCACATGTTTTTGTAGAGCCTCTTCTGCAGTTTGTTATGAATTGCACAATATTTCAGTAAAAAGAAATGAATGGTTTCTCATTTCGAAAAGTAAATGCAATTCAAATAATTCTCAACTTCGAAACAGATATCAATTCTTCAGAACTTCAAGAGAAAGTGATTCAACTCCTAAGCCCTAACTTGATATATGTACCACAAATTAAACATTGATGTTGTCAAAACCGCTAATTCTTTCAAACTCGAAAAGCACTTTAATTGAATTTATAATCTCTTTCTTTAAGGATTCGTATGGTACACTTGACAGTACAACTGTCTTCTCCCACGTTTGGTGCGATAATTGTACTCGACTGGACATGACTCAGTGGAACAAACATGCATTTTTCTGTTCGACTCCTACTAAAATAGGTGGAACAAAAATCACAGAGACGGGACAAATTTGGTAAATCACTAAACTACCCATGTCAAATTAAAACCCCCAAACCATCCACACCCCAGCCTTCCACTCCAATCTGGTTCCGTCTACGTACCAAATGCACCCTAACAGAGCAAGTAGATGAAGCTACTACACACACAAACACACATACAAATAGATCAATACCTGCCAGGTAGGTAAAAGTTTATGGAATGATAAGCAGCTGTTTGCATGGCTCAGCGCTCCGATCTTCAAGTGTACTGCAACTGATGAGCTATCCAATCACCTTCCTCCCAAATCCTACATAAATTTCCCAAAGTCAGACATGATGTAGAAATTTATACATATAATCTAGAAACTGATCCACAATTCTCGAAATGTTCAGGATCGAATTTTAATTTTGTTCATCAATCTAGGGTTTGATTTGTCAGATAAATTCAATAACCATCTAATTTCATATTTTCACAAAACTATTCAAAAATATAGATGATTGGGGATTATGTACAGGGGCAGAACACAAACTTTCCAAGCGCAGGGGTCGGACCTAATATTATATATTTCCAAAAATACACTATCCAAAGTTACAACGTAGAAGTTAAACTTTGTTGCCTATATGAGATGCCACAAAATGATAAAGGCTGCACCTGCTGAACTTCATTATAAAACAACCAGTCAAGAAAACCAATACATACACAATCAAGATTCTAAAACCAAACAAGCAAACCAATGGAAACCATCAATACGCCCATGTACCGCCTATGTCTAGGACTACTAAGGTGCAAAGACACAATGTACTTGACAACGGTGTGTTGCTTCTAGAAGACAAAAAATTCGGTGCAAAAACATGATCAAGAAATATCCTCTAATTGTTGTAACTCTTTTTCCAAATCACTTTCTTATGTTCTGATTTCTTAGTCAATTTTCAATCATATCAAACATCACCATGTTGCTCTTCCGCATTAAACATGGCGTTCTCATCATATATGTAATTATGGGTGTTAGCATTGGATCAGGTGCATATTGATGATACTACTGCTCATGTATTAAGTAGCTTCAGAAGCAAATTTGGTATCACCCCATCTAAGCTCCACTGCTCATGTGAAATATATATAGGAGCAGCTGCTGCTGCTTCTTCTAATGATACCACTTGAGAACAAATATGCAGAAGTTCCAAACACAATCAAGAATAAATCATATTTTATATATAATCATGATGCATCAACACTTGCACTTTAAATTCATATGTGCATGTATTTTATTACTTCTGCTAGCTACCTTTGCTTTACTTATTCATTTCATTCCCTTTTTCTTTCCTTTTATCTTTAAATACTCACATCTATGATTGCTCTTCTAGATTCATTCATTGTTATTTTCTGATCTTCTGTACTACTATTTTTGGCAGTCTAACAACAAACCACCATTCCTTCATTCATTTCTTGGAAAACAAAACCTCTGCTTTCCCTTTTATAATATATTAAGTTCTTTCTTCAATTCAAGTGACTGCTTTCTGCTCAAATTACTTTCCCAAAGCACTTATTGCAGCTGGCGTTTTCTGGGTTTTTGAAGAGCAAGAAGAAGAAACACCCTTTTGCAGAATTTGTTTTTTGAAAGAAATAAGGCAAAACAAAAAACACCCTTTTCAGATAGATACATACATATATATATATACACACACACACACACACACATACAAACACTTCTATGTATCTAACACAATTTTCAGGGTTATGAAACTCAGTGAATCAGTGAGAGAGTTTCAATTTTTAGTTATATTTAGTTGGTATACGAAGATTTCTGTTTTTCTTCTAATCTTTCTGGTGATCTTGTGTAATCTTGAAATGGGGTTTCACCTGGTCTTTCAGAGCCTAGTAAAAGCCCTTAAGACTCAATCAAACGACCGGACCTTCTATGGTTTGCACAAATGATATATTTATCTAAGAAAACCTGCCTTCTTATGCTATATTTTTTATGCAAATAAATTCCCATCTCTAGAATCAGAATCCACAAGGACAAACAATAGGAGGATTGCAGGAAGATAAAACACCATCACAAGTCACCAATCAAATTGCTGTGTGAAACTGAAACCTTGCAAGAACTAAGGTAGTCTACACAGGGTCGGAGACAGAGTGCATAAATTTAGACCTAAAGGCTAAATCACCTAAATCCTAATCAAGAAAATTAAGCAGTAAGCAGTTGCTATGGAGTCGGCGGAGACAGAGTCGGAGAGAACAAAGAACAAAAGAACTCACCGATTACCGTCGTCCGTCGAGTCGTCGGTCACTGCTCACGCCTCACTGGTGGACGATGTCGCTCGCTGCTGGAGGACTGGACTCAAGAGTGGAGGGGCCGCCTGCAATTGTGTATGCGTAACAGCCTATGAACCAAAATTTCCCTTCTTAGTGGTAAAAAAAAGCACCCCTAAAGGCCCAACAGGCCATCCTCCCCTGAAATTTATGTAGGTCTAATCCCATTACATTCTCCACCTCCACAACTGGAATCGAACTTGTGAAACTTTTTGTTCCCAAAATATATTCTTATTTACCTAAATGGCATAATTTCATCAATCCTATGGTTCATGATCGCATGTATCCTTAAGCTTTGCAAATTTTAGAAAGTAAATTTTAACGTGTCACAAACAGATTACAATAATAAAAGATTCTTATGCAATGTGTTCACACTTACAACTTCCTTAAATCTATGAGAATCATCGAAAATGGACTCTAATTGGGTATAGGAGTACGATACAGAAGTAAAAGGGAAAAAGCACATGGAGTAACGAAGCAAACCTGACCTAAACTCGCACCAAGGTTTAGCACAAAGTGAGTGTACGAATTGATCTGTGCAATCGCAGTAATTATACCTGTACTTTCCTGATTTGAATCCGTCGAGGAAGGAAGCGGAGAGTACGCCGGCAAAATGGAAGTGGGCGGCGGCGGCTGCCCCGGCGGTGAGAGTAGGGAGTACGGCGGAGGAAAAAGGCACGGAGTACGGCAGAGATGGATGAGAAAGGGTACAATGCACCCAAAACACGAAAATTATTCAATTAGACCAGTTTCGTTGTCCATATGTAACAATATTGTTCCAAATATCTCTTCATATAAACAAATAACAAATATTACAGGGTTTTTCGGTATTCCACCAGTAATAAATACTTGTGAGTGTTTAGATAAATAATTTATACCGGTGTCAAACTGATAATAATAAGTTTTTGAAAAAGTTAAATCATTCTAACTTATAATAGGTTGATAAAAACTTTTGTAGAAAAGCATAAGTTATTTCAAATAAGCAATTCCAAACCCTCTCATTTGCTCATTTGCCAAAAGATGACCACGGTGTTCAAAGGATGACATCTGGTGATGTGTTGGCAAATGAGCAAATAAGAGGGTTGGAGAGATTCAGGTGATATATAATTCTTTTGTCAAACACTCTTGGCATTTGATCAATTCAAACGATACTTTCGGTTCATGTCGTTAAGGATTGTTTATCTAACGCTTACTCGGTAAGCATTTATTTTACCGAATAAGATTTTAATATATTAAACGCAACATTTTTATTCGGTAAACGTCTATCGAGTAAGAATCGTCACTCTTATTTATTGGGTAATACTTTCGGTCTTTGTCATTGCTCTTATCGGGTAAGATTTCTCAGCTTTTGTCATATTCATTCAATAAGGTAAAATGACGCAGTAAACACTTACCGGGTAAGCATTTAGTAAACAGCCACTAATTTGTTACCAAAAACATCTAAATCATACAGAGTCTCTTTTTGTATCAAATCATTTAGTATCTATGAACCAACCATTTACTTTAAAGTAATCTGTAGCTATAATTTATATTTTACTTTACATGATAGTTTAAACTGAATATTTTTCATTCTTTATTATTACTAGAAAGGTATTCGTGCAATGCAGCGAGATACATTTTCATTTTAATGTTTCGTTTTATTTTATTTTTTGTCTCTGTTGATATATAATATATTTATGCGGTTTTGATAAAGATGATGTTTTTACTTTTGAATAAAAATAAATTTGAAGATATCATGAAAATTTAAAAAAAATATATCGATATTAATATCAAATTAACTATTTAAAAGTTCTCGTTTTTGTCCAATTTTTTTAATTCAATTTTTTATTATAATTTAATTTATGTGTAATAGCGAATAAATTTTGTTTTGCCTTAACAATATAATTTTATAATGATATGATTATGTTAGAACTCAATAATTATCTTAATTATATTTTAATTTTTTTATATTTAAATGAGATGTTTATCCTGTATTTGATTATGTTTATCTACAGTTAGTTATACGAATTCAAAAATGACGCTTTAATAAGTTGTATTTATGTACAATTTACTTGTAATCTTAAATTTTAAGTAATATACATTAATAAACAATACTTCATGCATAAAAAATGGTTTTTAAGAGTTTTTGTCAAATGTTTTATAATACGAAAACGGTACTCGCGCAATGCAGCAAGATACATCTTGATTTTAATTTTTTGTTTTATTATGTCTTTGTCGATATTATAATACGATTTTTCGTGGTACTGAAAAAACGATAATGTTTTTATTTTTTGAATAAAATATAAATTTGAAGGTATTATAAAATCTTGAAAACAATGCATCGATTTTAGTATGAAATTAAATATTTAAAAGTTTTTGTTTTTTTTGTAATTTCTTTAATTCAAGTTTTTATTATAATTTAAGTTAGATTTAAGGGGTAAATGCATGAAATAACAACCTATTTTCATAAATTTTCTTATTATAGTATTCTACTTTTGTTTTTTTTATTACAGCAATGTACTTTCAAATTATTTTTATTAAGACATTGTATTTTAAAAATGTACCCATAATAACAATGGGTAACTTGTTACCTTTTAAAACGGTTAACCCTTTGACTTTTTTGTTTGTGTGACTTTAATGARATGATGTGGATGATACATCATTTTGATGACTTAATTAAAATTAATATAAAAATCTATTTCAAATTATTATTAGTAATTTTTATTTTTTATTGCTATGAACTAAAAAAACATTTAATTTTTTTATTTTTCTTATTAAGTTGCATGCAAATCAAAAACTTCTTAAAGTAAAATATTTATTAAATAAATATGAAACATTATTTTTGAGATGTATTTTGTTTGTAAAAAATATAATTTGTCCTATTTTATGTTGTTCAAATAAATACATATCTTTTAAAGTTTTTTTTAAAATATTAACGAAATATATTGTTATCTA